GCCAATAGAATCGAAGGAGGATACTCACATAGACACACATTGTAAAGAAAAAATGTTGCCGCTTCGCGTGTGGAAAGCGAAACTAAACTGGAGGAATGTCTCCTTCTGGAGTTTGGAAACTAAAACGCAGTTGTATTGCTTATGGATTATCAGAAATAATTTCAAAGAAGGCACAGACACATAGGATGAACCTATGGATTAACTGCAGCATCGTTTTTTTATCGTTTTAATGCCATTGAAGACCACTTTTGACCAAGGTGAGCCATATTTACATGTTTAGCTTCTTGGCTCCACATGTGATGATGTACGCTTTCGTTGATAGCGTCGCGAATGTTTATCACTGAGTGTTGAGGTGGGCACCGTTAGATTCCGTGTCTCCAGGACACCAAAAAATAGTGTTTGGTTGTGCATCTAGGATAAGTAATAAGGGAGTTCTGAGTGAGTTTATGTGCCTTTGTCGGTCCCGTTTTTTCGATCGAGGCTAATTCAGAGGCTGAGTGCTAGCATTGTGGGTTTTTTTTGAAAAAAAAAATTAAAAAGATCAGTTAGCTGAGTTTCTTCCCGTTACATGGATATAACACATTCATAGTTTTATTCAATATTAAGATTCCTTAGACGTTGTTTCCTGCAAATGACGCGTTTATCCGCCCGGTACCGGGGGGAAGGCGTGAAACAGGTTAAACATTAAAGAATACTTTAAGTTAAGGTCTTCTTTTGAATAAGAAAAAAACGTTGGGGGTATCAACAGATAAATATTAAGTCTGACAAAGTACTTAACGTCTAATATATTGCATAGTTTATTTTGGCACTTGACAATCACCTTCCCTGAATTTGACTCAGGTGTAACTAAAATCTGATTTAAGGGTTGTATATATTTCACATCTTTAATCAGAATCTGCAAAGTAACTAAAATAAATGTAGTGGAGTAAAAATACCAGGTTAACCTCTGAATTGTAGTGGAGTAGAACAAAGTAGTACATGCTGCTGTAACAAAAACATTTCCCAACTTGGGATCAATAAAGTATATCTTATACCCGTCCGAGTCCAGTTTTGGATAGTCTGCCCTGGTTACATTCTATTTCAAAGAGCTGTTTGACGCTCGGCGTAACCTTGTCACACTGCCACTCCAACATCCAATCACAGAGCTTGAGGACTAATCACAGGGTTTGTAAAGCAAAGCGGATGTTGTAGTCCCAAACGATAGCTGAAGATTCTGGGTGGTGTAGTGTCTTTCGGAAACTCTGTAGTGTCTAAACTCCGAAAACACTATTTGTTTCTCCGAATCGAAGGTTAAAAACACAAAAGCATTGTACACAATTTAAACCAATCAATATTGTGTAATTAACAAGGATAAACTGATGTTTTTAGTGGATGAGTAATGCAGATATCACTGTGTAATCATTTGACAGTGAGGGGAATGCTTCCGATTTTATTATGAAAACTTCGAGATCGGAAATACTGTTTTCACCCCGTGAGGGTTGACGCCAACTTTACATGGACGCTGCGGAAAGACGTACACGTTCTCCTGGCAAGACCTCAAATCATCTTCGTAATATCTATCAAACTATAGATCCTACACATCCACTGGACGTAGATTCTAAAAGTACAATATACAGTTCTTGATAGAAATCTAATCAAAAAGCATTTTAATGGCCAAACTATTCCACAATTTAGGATTTTCCAGAGAGGGTTATTTGTGAATAAACGACCCTCCGGAGCGTTTGCAATCAACGGGAGCATGTTGTTTCTTTCATGACCACTAGAGGTGCTACACTTTAAAACATGACTATGGGTCGTAATAAGCTGCTGAACAATCAACCTATTTGGTCGTTTTTTGTAGGACAGGCTGCTTATGTCAAATGTGGCATATAAAAATATGTACTACTAGTGTAGTTTTTTTGTTTTTTACAATAACCTTTTCAGATCATGTTCCTGTCTTTTGTCCTCAATTGTCGACCCTTGGTCTTCTCCCAACCCAACACAGTCTCACTCCCTGCCTGTCAAAAACCGACTCTTGGTCAGGGTCCTTTGGCCTAACCACCCAAAACAACAAAAAACAGGTTCAACTATTACATTGTGTAGATATTAGAGATCGTATAAGAATTATTTTGACTTGTATTGTCATAAAGTAATAAATAAATAATAAAAGGACCCAATATTATCCATACTCCCCGTTTTTACTTTTCCCAATTTTGTCTTCAACAATGATAATATGTAATTCTGGAAATAAATCAACTAACTCCAACATCCTGCAGCAGGGATTGGCTCCTTGCTGACCAATGAGGAGGGCCGGACAGCAGGGCAGCTCTCCTGTCTCCATTCATAGGTCTGCCTCTTCAACTATTGGCTGGAGACCACCATGACCAGCTATTAAGTCTGATCCTGTGACCACCATCTTACTCTGCTGCCTTTCTTCCATCATCCTCTCCACTGTTGTTGTTGAGTTTTGAATAATGTGCAATCTGAGTAAATAAAATCCTAAACCTTGACTTTCAAATAATGATTCCCTCAGTTCTTTTGCCTTTGTTTGCCCTCATCATATCTTCATTACATACTAATTCTTTCATGAAGGTGTGAACCTATTTCCTGCTCCTCAGTATAAAATACAATCAATTGCTCCTTATTTTGCATCCATAATGTTGGTGTAGCACTCTTGTCATTACAAAGATATGTTACACAATGTGTAATCGTTTTTTTTTATCAACACCAATAAATATGTGTGCAGTGCAGCAAAGTCCTTAACAAATAAACAGGAAATATGATAAAGAACACCGATCAGTTGATGTATAGAATATATAAAAAGTAAATCCCATTAGATACAACTTTTTATTAAATAATGTGACTTTTAAGATAGAGTTGAATGCAATATCTTAAGTAGTACCTGGTAATAACCCCTTCAAAATGATGTTTTCTGGGATACAGTCAGCAGTGTTGTTGGAGATTCTGCTAAATTGAACATTCATCATGTGTCATTTCCTTTTCAGTGTACCAGGCCCATTTACACCACCCATTATGACTTTCTCGCTCCCAGTGTCTGTTTTGTTTTTAAAACTTCTCTGAAATGGCTTATAGCTTTATGGTTGGTTAGGTAGTCGTGCTATAACTGCTCTTGCTCTGCTATGTGTAAAAAACGTAATCTACAACAAGCCCCTGCACCCCTCTCTGTTGTTGCATTGCTGTAGCTGCTGATGGCAACAGGCTGCAGTGTGTTGCCGTCCCCATCCTCTCTTATGAAGACTGTAATAACTCCTACCCCGGCATGACCGACAACACCATGTTCTGTGCCGGATACCTGGAGGGAGGCAAGGACTCCTGCCAGGTGTGTATCTCTGATTTACTTTATACTGCTTTATTTTCTACTAGGACTACATTTTTTTAACTCTCTAAAATGACATCTCTCAGGGAGACTCTGGTGGTCCTGTGGTGTGTGACGGTGAGCTGCAGGGTGTTGTGTCCTGGGGCTACGGGTGTGCTGAGCAGAACCACCCTGGTGTCTACTCCAAGGTAACTTCCCTGCATCTCCTAAAAATAGAGAAATATCACACTCCTTAAAGTATGTCATGTTTCACTGCAACGAACTGACTGATATCTTTTTATTTTCAGGTGTGTGTGCAGACTGAGTGGCTGCGCAACACAATGGCTACCTATTAACTCCACCATCCAACCTCCACAGCAGACACACATATACTCTCTGTCCTAATGCTAACTGTCTTTGCTGGATTTATAGTGAAATAAATAAATTGATTGAAATTAATCATTGTTTTGTCTTTGCAATATGTTGTTCCTTTAATTTAAATGGTATTTCTAGTTGATGCAATTTTAACTTTGCCATAACTTGTATAAGAAAGTACAAATGTCATTAAATATTAAGATAATATTTTTTTTTGTTATCGTATCCATTGATAGTGAGTTTATATAAAGGACACAGGCTGCCAAAGAAATAAAGCGAATAAAAGATTCTTCTTAATTAACTATCATTTCCCCATCCCTTGTATCATCATTTAAACGTAGCTTGCAGATGCTGAGAAACCCACAGCTGTGAGATACAGTGAGCACACATCTAAATATAGAGGGGACCTGTTTACCTGTGCAATCTGACCGAGAAACACAAGCCAACTTTAAGAGGTGGATTCAAACCTTTACAAAGTTATGAGTCGCAAATGTTTTAGTTTTTTAGGCAAAATAAAAGAAGGAGCAGAAACACTCACTGTGAGAAATGGTTCCATAGCAACCTAATTTAAATGATTGATGTTTTTATTTAGAGACGAGTTTGACAAAGTGGTGCTATATCAAGCATCATATACTGTACTGCTTCATACCAATAAATCATTTTCTAGGGCTAAATCCTTTATTTGGCATCCAAACCATAATTATATTGTGTATTTATAGCTTATAGATAAATTAAGTGGATTAAAAAACTGCATTTTACCCTCAACTTCTGTGTCATCCTGACAGTCAAGACAAAAGCCATTCCTAGCAATACATTGGTCTGTGAGTGTTGAATCTCATGTCAAATGTGGCATATAAAAATATGTAGTAATACTGTAGTTTTTTACAATAACTTTATAAGATCATGTTCCTGTCTTTTGTCCTAAATTGTCGTCCCCTGGTCTTCTCCCAACCCAACACAGTCTCACTCCCTGCCTGTCAAAAACTGACGCTTGGTCAGGGTCCTTTGGCCTAACCACCCAAAACAACAAAAAACAGGTTCAACTATTACATTGTGTAGATATTGGAGATCGTATAAGAATTATTTGGACTTGTATTGTCATAAAGTAATAAATAAATAATAAAAGGACCCAATATTATCCATACTTTCCCCTTTGACTTTTCCCAATGTTCTAACAAGAAAGCTATCCTTACTTCAACAAAGATATTTTTTATGTAATTCTCCTAACTCCAACCTCCTGCAGCAGAGATTGGCTCCTTGCTAACCAATGAGGAAGGCTGGACAGCAGGGCAGCTCTCCTGACTGAGGATATAAACCAGGTCTGCAGGTGAAGGCTATCATCGACAGAATCACACAGCAACCATGAGGTCTCTGGTCTTCGTTCTGCTCATCGGAGCTGCCTGTGAGTGTGAAGCTCTTATCGAGCTGATTGCCTTCCTTTCTGCTGACAGTCTGTGGGCCTTTATCCCAAAACTTAGTGCAGAATAACCAGACCATGTGCCTAAAGCCAAGGATTTTAATTTGAACAACTATGATCTTTAACCACCCAAAGTTCTCCAATGAACAATGCACACTTGTTCTACATTCAAATAGATGTCTGTTCTATTGTAACTTTTTTTAAAGAGTATAGTATCAAACAACTAACTTGATGCTGATGTGTGTTTTCTCAGTTGCCACGGAGGAGGACAAGATTGTCGGAGGGAAGGAGTGCACTCCCTACTCCATGCCCCATCAGGTGTCTCTGAACTCTGGCTACCACTTCTGTGGAGGCTCCCTGGTCAACGAGAACTGGGTGGTGTCTGCTGCTCACTGCTACAAGTCGTAAGCACATTCCTCATGTTTTCCAGGGTCATATGATTGATTGACTAACCTGTGGGGCACGCACATTAATATATGATGATTAGTTATCTGTATTTTGTTACTAATCCAGTCATTTCCATTTGGTATTAGCCGCGTGGAGGTTCGTATGGGAGAGCACCACATCAAGGTCACCGAGGGAAACGAGCAGTTCATCAGCTCCTCTCGTGTCATCCGTCACCCCAACTACAACTCCTACAACATCGACAATGACATCATGCTGATCAAGCTGAGCAAGCCCGCCACCCTCAACCAGTACGTGAAGCCTGTGGCTCTGCCCAGAAGCTGTGCCCCCGCTGGCACCATGTGCACCGTCTCCGGCTGGGGAAGCACCCAGAGCTCCAGTGAGTAAGACCTGCATTTTAGCAGCTGGAGTTACACTTTATGTTTGTGTCATTTGTGCTATTCTAACCCTGTTTTACAAAATTACAGCTGCTGACGGCAACAAGCTGCAGTGCCTGAACATACCCATCCTGTCCGACAGGGACTGTGATAACTCTTACCCCGGCATGATCACTGATGCCATGTTCTGCGCTGGATACCTGGAGGGAGGCAAGGACTCCTGCCAGGTGTGTAACAAAACAACTCTGCAGGAATCCTTTTCCTATACCAATGCATCTTAGTTGCATATACAGAAAATGTGTATATTCCTTCACAAATGAATTCTCTCTCAGGGAGACTCTGGTGGACCCGTCGTGTGCAACGGAGAGCTGCAGGGTGTTGTGTCCTGGGGCTACGGATGTGCTGAGAGGGACAACCCCGGTGTCTACGCCAAGGTAAACCCAAAATATCTCTACAATAGAAGACATGAAACCTACATTTCACAATTTGCATGCTAGACTAAAATATTTGTTGATTGCTGACATCCTAACAAACCTCACTGTGTCTCCATTCACAGGTCTGCCTCTTCAACGATTGGCTGGAGACCACCATGGCCAGCTATTAAGTCTGATCCTGCGACCACCATCTTACTCTGCTGCCTTTCTTCCATCATCCTCTCCACTGTTGTTGTTGAGTTTTGAATAATGTGCAATCTGAGTAAATAAAGTCCTACACCTTGACTTTCAAATGATGATTCCCTCCGTTTTTTGCCTTTGTTTGCCCTCATCATATCTTCATTACATACTCATTCTTCCATGAAGGTGTGAACTATTTCCTGCTCCTCAGTATAAAATACAATCAATTGCTCCTTATTTTGCACACATCCATAATGTTGGTGTAGCACTCAATTACATTACAAAGATATGCTACACAATGTGTTGAATGTAAAACATTAGAATTAATAGTTTTTTTTATAAACACCAATACATATTTGTGCAGTACAGCAAAGTAAAAATAAAACATGTTCACATGGAAAGGTTCCCAAATACATATGCACACTTTTTTTTAACAATATCCTATGTCCATATGTTTCTATTTAAGTAGTAGATTCAAACTGTAGGGCTATTACTAAGGGCAGCAACGTTGTAAATATTGACGATACATCCAGCAAAACGCCCCCAAACAAAACTGGTAGTGGCCTGGCTGGGTGTATAATTCCCGGCCTGACCTACGGTCCCAGTCCGGCTCTGCTAACACATCACACACCCGTACACTACACACATTACTGATTAACTGATATCACAATTGAGTTACTCTCTTTAAATAAATATACTGTAATTGGAAAATAATCATGTGTGGTGTCCTTGTTTTGTCCGTCCTTGAGCCAGGGCTCCCTATTGTTGTATGTAGGTTATTCTTGGTTTTAGAATGAATTCAGTAATGGTGTGTGTGTAACACAAACATAATAAATCATTGGATAGTGTTTCTATATAATAGAAATAAAGTAATGTATTAAGACTCAGTGCGAGTTATTACTTTCTTCCTTTACTTGGCATTCTTCAAAAATACACAGACATTGCAGCACATCGTTTCACGTCTTTGTACAGCTTTTCTCAGCATTAAAGTGCAATGTGTTGGCGAACCTTTGTTTCCTCCTGACAGCTCACTTAAAGGTATACTCAATTCAATTCAATAGCTTTATTAGCATGACCTCAGTTACATATAGTATTGCCAAAGCTCTGTATAGTTGCAACATCTATACAAAATATATATATATATATACAATACTCCCCCTTGTGGCCAAAGGGGGACACAACTCTTGTCTTCAGATGTATGCTTGAGTGCAGCAAAATGTAGCACAGTGACTATTTTGTCAACTAAACATCATAAAACAATACATATTTTAGTAAATGGGACATTATAATCTCCGCACATTAACTCTATATTTGCCTCTGCCATGGTGCCAAAATGAAATGAAATAAAATAAACATTATATAGGGGTTGTTTCTTCTCTGAACTTCTATGTATACTGCATCCCTCCATATCAAATAAACCATAAACAAATACATAAAGTTGTGTTCACTGCAGCGATCTATTTCACACACAAAACTATGTGAAGACTTGGTGATATACAGTGGCGTTTTCTCCTGGAGACCAAGGGAAGACAGGCTTCTCCTGTTTTTTCAGCCTTTGTTATCATTTTGATAATAAAAAATATATATTCTTGTCTGTGGTTGTTTTTGCATTCAGGGCATACGAGAGGTGTAACATTATTTTAATACCAAAACTATATTGAAATAGAGTCTAGCTTGAACAGCAACTACTGTAAGTAGCTGTAACATTACTGGGTTATTTGGTGATAACTACCAAAGTAAAGTAACTTCAGACGCAGACGTCACGTAGCTTCTCAGACGAGAGGGGTGGCGACGAGAGTGTCACGTTACTTCTCTCGCGGCATAGCTCACGGCATGGTAGGCGACGATCGACACGATTGGCTGCTCAGTTAGTTCGTTCTTTGGCACAAATCACACCTCATAGGGTCGGTCTCGCTTGATTGCAGAATAAGATTTCAAAGCCTTGAGTTTGGCATTTGGACTATTGACATATTGTTTTTTTGGAACAAGATATGACACAAGAATAAAGCTAAGTACAACCCAACACTGAAACATGACATTTTACAATACACCTTAATTAACTAAATAAAACACTGTAAAAGGAATTAAAGGTAGGGTATGCAAGTTTGAGAAACCGGCTCGAGATACACTTTTTGTTATATTCCATGGAATGCTCTTAACATCCCGATAGCAATGAATATCTTAAGTGCTTTGACAAAAAATGCATACAAAGATTTCATCTGTGGAAGCCGTGGTACTGTAAAAAGCACGACCAATCATTTTAGCCGGCCCGGCCCGGATGGCCTACCTGCCTGTCAGCCTTCCATCTGTGCACAAATTTATCTCGTGCCCTCATTGGTCATGTGCGCGTTCGTGTGTGTTGGAGGAGGGGCTCTGTAAGGAAGTCTGAAGGAAGGGGCAGATTTTCTCCGGTTGTGTATTTTCAAATTCTAGCGATCTCGAGCCGGTTTGTCCATTCTTACCTACCCTACCTTTAAGGTCTTAGGAATAAACATGGAAAGGAAGCCATGCACGTCCTTTATTGTTTATTTTACTGGAAATGGGACCATAGTTCACTAAAGGAACATCTTGCTGTATTGAAGACTTTAAATTAGTTTTTAAACTACAAACTCGTTAGGAAAATGTTTAAAACAAATTGAGATAATGAACATTTAATAGACTTTTGTTAGCTTATCTTTTCAAAACCAAGGGTTGCCACATCATTTGTCCTCAAGCTAATGCAATTTTGTGAAATGTTTCTGTTTATTGACATTAGCTGTTCTTGTTTGACTGTGGTTTATATTTGTTTTTTGTTAGAAATGTCACCCCTGAATTGAAATCCAGTACTCATAAAACAGTACATCTACACTGGGAGCAGATAGACAATAAGAAACACACTGTTGCATCACAAAATGTTCAATTTTTTATTGATTGAGCCTTGACATCTCACATCTCGCATGTTGTTTTCTTTCTCCCTCGGCTTCTCCTTGTGTCTCACTCTCAGCCTCTCTTCCGCTGCCTCTCTCTTCGACACTTCCCACCGCCACCTCCTGTCTCCTTCAATTTCAATCTCCCTCTGATTTCCCCTCTCCTGTAGTTCTGTGATGGGAGATCACAGCCTAGGAGTATGTGGAGAGAATATCGTTGATCCAGGGCATCAGAGAGCAGACTTTGGTGTAAACGCCAGGGTAGTTGGGTTGAGCGCAGCCCTGGCCCCAGGACACGACACCCTGCAGCTCTCCGTTACACACCAGAGGACCACCAGAGTCACCCTGAGCAGGAGAGAGACATCAGTTTATTCCCTCCACCTCATTCAATATAACCTCATTGTATGTGCCGTGTTATTGTTTGAAGATACCTGACAAGAATCCTTTCCTCCCTCCAGGTATCCAGCGCACACCATGCGGTCAGTGATCAGGCCGGGGTAGGAGCCATCGCAGTCCTTGTGAGAAAGGATGGGGACTTCCACACACTGGAGGTAAAACGGGTTGAACACTGCAGATAAGAACGAGACAAAACGATTAGGAGCGACACAAAAAACACCCCCATTCAGCCTTATATCATGTGTTCAAATGCACCGATGTATTAGTGACTCCAGACTATCAGAAACATGCATTTATTGACTGTACTGTTTATAGCATCACTCTATTCCAGCTTGATTTCTCAATTTACTTGTTTTCTGTAAATATGTGTACCTTAAATGGGCAACATCACCATATATTTGGTTTTAAATAATCTGCCATAAGTGCTATCATACTACAGTAACCATAACTAGGTAGGACAAGCCTGGCGAGCTTTGGATTTTGAATACTATATAGTCATTTCATGCAGTATGTAGCCATCAAGTGCATTGCCAACATTATACTGGCTTTACTAGCTTTTTAGGATGGTTCCTAACTGAGGGAAATGATTCAGCAGCTATTATAAAAGCTGGGCGAATCCTTTTGAACGCTAGGGAAAGGTGCTTTAATGTTTCCTCTCATCATAGGGTGAGCTACAATATTCTGTTTGCCATCAAGCAAACTTTATACATCATGTTTGCTCTCAAATGCATTCTTATGAGACAATCTTAAGCCTTAGATGATTACCAACTGTTATATTTTTTCATCGTGTCTTTGTGCCTGATATATTTTCTATTTCATAAAAGTTTGAGAATTTTTTGGCTGGGCGAATCCTTTTGAACGCTAGGGAAAGGTGCTTTAATGTTTCCTCTCATCATAGGGTGAGCTACAATATTCTACACTATTCTGTTTGCCATCAAGCATGGCTTGATCAAGCATCCTTTTGAACGCTAGGGAAAGGTGCTTTAATGTTTCCTCTCATCATAGGGTGAGCTACAATATTCTACACTATTCTGTTTGCCATCAAGCATGGCTTGATCAAGCATCCTTTTGAACGCTAGGGAAAGGTGCTTTAATGTTTCCTCTCATCATAGGGTGAGCTACAATATTCTACACTATTCTGTTTGCCATCAAGCAAACTTTATACATCATGTTTGCTCTCCAATGCATTCTTATGAGACAATCTTAAGCCTTAGATGATTACCAACTGTTATATTTTTTCATCGTGTCTTTGTGCCTGATATATTTTCTATTTCATAAAAGTTTGAGAATTTTTTGTGACAGTAGATATGGTTGTTGGTTGCAGGTGACGAAGTCCACTTTAAGTACGTTTTAGTTAATAACAGCAGTTAAGAAACTACTGTTTATTAATACTTAATGGTTTGTTAAAGGCTTTTGTTATAATACGTTTTAAAGCTATGGAAGGCCATGAGTGCCATATTTTACCCTTTTTTTTCTTCTTGTAATAATCTCAACCACAGCAAAGACAAACAATAGGATCACAACAGAATAAAAATAATTGTACCATGACCCATTGATGACCTTTAATGTGAGGATCAGGCACACCTCACCTTGATCAGTGTAGATGTTTCCCCATCCGGACACCATGCACATGTCCCCGGCTGCAGGGCAGGCCTTGGGCAGAGCGACGGGCTTCACATACTGGTTCACGGTGACGGGGTGCGCCAGCTTCATCAGCATGATGTCGTAGTCCAGGGTCTGGTAGTCGTAGCTCTGATGCCAGTAGATGGCGTCCACGGACATGAACTGCTCCGTGCCCTCGTTCATCCAGA